GCAAGCTCCGCCTCCCGGGTTTACGCCATTCTCCTGCCTCAGCCTCCCGAGTAGCTGGGACTACAGGCGCCCACCACGTCGTCTCCTCTTCTTGAAATAAGCTGTAGATTTGTAAGCATTGCATTTTGGGTCCCATGAGTCTTCTTTACAAATCAAACTCTTTTAAACTGTTATGTTAGTACAACCTCCAAATAGCATAATAGGCAGCAGAAAATTAATGTAAAACCAACTCTCACTATATGTCAGAATTTTCTGGATTCTCACAGCTTTTTCACATTAAAGATTCTTAACACCAATTCTGATGTAATTATTTACTAAAGTAATAGCTAAATGCAGTTGTGTGCCGATGCAATTCTGACCACAAAATCTAGCCTCTAGTGTGGTGAAATGTGGGCGCTTTGCCTGTGCAGGGCTTATTTAACAGGATAATATATTTATAATAATCTTTTTTTTTTTTTTTGAGATGGAATTTCCCTCTTGTTGCCTAGGCTGGAGTGCAATGGCACGATCTTGGTTCACTGCAACATTCGCTTCCTGCATTCAAGCGATTCTCCTGCCTCAGCCTCCCAGGTAGCTGGTATTACACGTGTCCACCATCACACCCAACTAATTTTTTGTATGTTTAGTAGAGACGGGGTTTCACCATGTTAGTCAGGCTGATCTCGAACTCCTAACCTCAGGTGATCCACCTGCTTCGGCCTCCCAAAGTGCTGAGATAACAAGTGTGTGCCACGGTGCCTGGCCTATAATAACTTTTAACCTATATTTTTAGAATTGTATTCTGTCATTGTTGTGGGTGAATTGTTTTTTAAAAATAAACTAATAAAACCAATAACAATCTCAAAATGCATCAAGTTATCAATACATTCATTAACATAAGCTTTCAATTTTATCACTTAAAAATAATTCAGAAAGAGGCCAGGCATGGTGGCTCACGCCTGAAATCTCAGCACTTTGGGAGGCCGAGGTGGGCGGATCACGAGGTCAGGAGATCAAGACCATCCTGGCTAACATGGTGAAACCCCGTCTCTACTGAAAATACAAAAAAATCAGCCGGGCGTGGTGGCGGGTGCCTGTAGACCCAGCTAATCGGGAGGCTGAGGCAGGAGAATGGCATGAACCTGGGAGGTGGAGCTTGCAGTGAGCCAAGATCGCACTATTGTACTCCAGGCCTGGGCAACAGAGCAATACTCTGTCTCAAAAATAAAATAAAATAAAATAAAATAATTCAGAAAGAGTTGTGTGACTCAGTTGTTATTGAAGACAGATTGAACTTTGAGGAAAAATGACTCAGGAGAAAGGACAATGGCTGTTGTTCAGGCAGGGACAGCTGAGATTATTCTGGTAGAGGCCGTTATGGTTACTACTTATAAAAACATGGCTTTGGGAATTATCACCTGAGCTTGTCTTGATGTGTGTTCCTCCTCCAGGAATTTTTAATCCTCCTGGGGAACATGTGCCTTGTCAAGGGGCCAACTCTTTTACATAGGCTTCCTCTAGTGCTTCACCAACATCTGCCTCAGATCCTCACATAAAAAGGTAGAAATTATTTATTGGCTGATGTAAAGCAGTGGTGCTAAGTTAATTGAACACATTGTATTGAAATAAGAAAGACATGGAAAAACAGGTAGCTATGTTATAAAGGCAGAAAACGTTTTAATAAATATATGTAGACTTAAACTTTTTGTCCTCATCTAAGATATTCTTTTTACTGATAGTTAAATAAAATGTTTGGATGTTGTTTGTCTAAATCAATTGTATTTCTTTTATTCTGGAAAATGTTACATTCCACTCCCTTGGAAGAGCCAGATGAAGCATCAGAAAATGACATTTGGTAGGCAGAATGATGTTTTTCTTGGAATAAGAATCATTCTTAAGTGCCAAGATCAACTTGGGCATTGACAATTTCTGATGTCCTTTGTTTTCTTTCTTTTTGTACAGAACTTATTTCCATTGTTTAATTTCCTTACCTTCTTTTTCATCATGAAGAAAACTTCCATCTATAAACCATATGATATTTGCTTTGGGGAATACATTCTTTAGTAAGCAGGTAAATGTTCTCTGGGGTAAAGACAGAAAAAGGGTTATTTGCAAATTCCTAAGAAACTGGTACTCCTTACAACTTACTAACATTCATATAACATAAGTTGGTAAAAACGAGTTTCTCCATTTTTAGCTGAATAAATAGAAGGCAGTGTCTACTTTTAATATAGGTTGTGTTAGAACATGCACTATAAATGGGTTATCTCCTATAGAGATGTTATAAACTACCGACTATACTCCTAGATACTCCTAGGTCAACTAAGGGTTAAAGATCTAGGACTATACTAATGTTCCAAGTCTGGATTCTGGGTTCTGTTAAAGAGAACTCTTAACTCTGTGTAGGCAGAATAAAATAATACTAAATGGAAACCAAAGAATAGAAGGAAAAAGCAAACAGAATCAAGAGAAGAATAGTCTGTTAGGTTTAAAGCTCAAGGGGATCTACATGTTGTTTCTGTGTCCCAAGTAATGTACGACACTATTTGTAATAACCACAGAAACCAATTTATATAAATATCCTGCTTTTTACTTGTGAAGTATTTTACTAATTTTTTAAAAAATTTTATTGGATTAATCTTGAGGATAGGTAGGGCATGCCTTATTTTTGCCATTTGACAGATGGAAAAATCAAGGCACCCAGTGGTTCAAGGAAGTGGAAAATAGTTAATGGCACAATTAGAAATGATGTCTCGTTAATCTCAGTCCAACGTATTTTTTAATAAAAACTGTATTGAAATAAAAACATGAAAGAAGTTGCTATGTTATGAAAGCAGAGAACTTAGATGCAGGGCTAGTTATGTTTTATTTTCAATGCTATGTTTGTTCTTTGGGGGATGTTACTTTCTTTAACAGTCTGGTGAAAACATCCGGTGAGAATTATTGGATTCCCATTGTTTTATCTGAGACTCTTCAAAATTATAATTCCATTTATAATTACTTGTTTTCTCATCAAGAGATGTATATATTTTACATATGACGAGCCCGATTTCTTAGTTCCCAGATATTTTCCACAGTTAATGAATATGCTAGTTAACATGTAAAGAACAATTAAATGTATGTGATGATTTGGGTGTCAATCCACAGACTAGTTACTCCTAAGAAGTCTGGGCCTATAGAGCTGAGAAACCACACTTAAGAATGCTAAGTAACATTTTCCTAGTGAAATCCTACAGAAGTTTACCATTTCTCAGTACATTGCTACCGAAATCCCAAAGAAACAAGATAATTTCAGAGGGGGTTGTCTAGCATATCCAAGATGCTGGGTGACAAACACTGTAGCTCCCAATATTCCCATCCATTCAACACTTGCCTTTCCAGGTAATGGGGATACATACATGGACCAGGGATGCTATTCTCTCCACTAAAAAATTAAAAGCAAAACCAGATCCTCTAAAATACATTCTTATTAAGTAAAGGAGAGTGTTCAGTTTAATTTAATAGATGCCAAAGATTGATTTTTATCTCCAGTTGGTCCAGGAAGAGATAAAAAGGTATAGGAGATAAAACTTTTTTTTTAAAAAAGAAAAAGATACAAAGGTTTGCATTAATCCAGTGACATTAACCATTCTCATGATTCATTTCCTTTATCTTTAGTTAACCCACCAAAGATGACGATATGGTAATATCAGGAGTAGGTGGAGGTGTTATTATTTTATGAAGGCAACTGGCTCACTGAAGAACTCTTTTGTTAACTTCTAAAAATGTTGAAAAGATTTGACTTTCGTGAATTCTCTAGATTCAGATATTCTGAAATGGTTCAAATTTCAAATATTCTATACTCTCTCTAGAGTTTGTGTTCCAAGATTTGGTTTAGAAATGTGGTTCACGTTCTAAAACTCCTACCAGTTTCATTCCTATTTTGAATCTTTTTCCCCCATTTTTTTTTCTATTTTAACTTAACCGTCAACCTCTACGTATTTTCTGCTGTGCCATTTCTTTTTCTTTTCTTTCTTTTTTTAAATTTTTATATATTTATTTTATTTATTTTTTTTGAGACAGAGTCTCCCTCTGTCGCCCAGGCTGGAGTGCAGTGGCATGATCTCAGCTCACTGCAACCTCCACTTCCCGGGTTCAAGTGATTCTCTTGCTTCAGGCTCCCGAGTTGCTGGGATTACAGGCATGCACCACCACACCTGGCTAATTTTTGCATTTGTAGTAGAGACGAGGTTTCACAATGTTGGCTGGCCACGAACTCCGGACCTCAAGTGATCCACCTGCCTCGGCCTCCCAAAGTGCTGGGATTACAGGCATGAGCCACGGCGCCTGGCCTGCTATGCCATTTCTATCTTTTCTTTTATAACACAAAGTTTTTTTTTCTTCTATTGACATCTTCTTTAGAGTCTTCCTATCTCCTCTTGGTAGGCTTTCCTTTTCAATCTAAATATGTATACACACACATATATTATGCATATTATATATAATGTATGTTTATATATAATCTATATGTGTATACACATTTCATATTTCAGTCTTTCCCATTCTTCTTCCTTCAAATCACTTGTTTTACTTGAGAGGCTAGGTAATCTAGTCTTCAAAAAAGAGAACTAAGACTTGTAGGTGCTTGACTTACTGTATTGCTGCTTGACATATGCCAGGAACATCCTTTTCTTAGTAGTGGAGGGGGTGGAGAAAAGGTTTGCATCTGTGTCTAAGTGTTGCAGAAAAATCCGACAGGCACAGACACACCTTCTTGAAAACAATGCTGCCCTAGAAGTGGGAGGAAACCAGAACTGGAGGTGCCCTCCTTCTGGGGTAGGAGTCAGCTAATAGCCATCCAAGGTGTGCAGGAGTGCTTTCACTCTGCGCAGGAAAGATCAGAGAGAAGTCCAGAGCCTTGCCTGCTTGTAAGTACCCACTTGTGGCTAGGGGGGAATTTCCTAACTGTTCAGGGTTGCAAAGCTTGATTAAATAATGCTCTTATTAATTTAAGAAATGACCCAAGAAAGGAGAGAGAAGTCGGGCTGTTTTTAAATGCAACATGATTTTCCATTTACTTATTTATCTTTAAAATGAGTTAAAGAGCAAAACACCTGGAGTCTGGTGCTTCAGGAAGGTCTTATTGGCTGTTGGCTTTGCAGGTGTTCCTGCTGGAGAAGGAGTATGGTGAGCTGCTGGCTAAGGACAGCCAGGCAACATCATGTTTGTGAAGATGTGCTCCATCTTCCCCTCTGTGCATCCCAGCTCCTCCTGCTGAAACAGCTGAGCTTGCTTTTTGGATTTCTTAGACTCCTGGCCTCCGAGAGACGCCTCTAAGGACAAACTGACCTTGCATTGGGAACTTTATTATCCAGATCCTCATTGGCTTTGTCTACTCTGGATTGCTTGTTGCAACAGTTTTTAGGAAGCATGATTGTCTCCTACACCAGCATCTGCCTGTGTTTGCTTTTACCTGCTCTGAGCAAGACCCAGTGAGGCCGTAGCCCTGTTGGTCCTGAAAAGCCTGAAACCTGAGGCTGTTTCTCTTGCCTCCAAAATGCATTTATAGGCAATAAGAAGCACAGAAACAGTGGAAACAAGCAGGAGGAGAAAAAAGAAAACCTAAAATTTTCAATATTCAAAAATACCTGTCGTGGTGGTTGATGCAGAGAACACTGAGTTCATCAAAGAGCTTTGTAATTGTTGGACAGAGAACACCTTTGCTACAGAACTGATATGTTTTGTCTTTCTGGCCTAGTCAAGGAAGGATAAGTAAGTATCTGGGGCATGGAAGGAATGCACTCTTGGGTCGTTTTGCTTGTATCTGACTCACCCCTGACTCTCCAGTGAAGCAGAAAGGAAGAAACCTCACACCACCCAGGTGTGGCCAGACTTTGGCCATTATTGTGAATCCGCAAGAGTTACCACGGGCCCTTCCCAAATATATATTCAATCTTGTGGTTCAAATAAGCTTTTGGCTCACATCTAGCCACATCATAAAGAACGCTGTAGAACAGGTGACATGATGAGGCGGGAAGAGGAGGAAGAGGAGGGAGCCATGATGAAGGCAAAAGGGGACTTGGAGATGAAGGAAGAGGAAGAGATTAGTGAGACAGGAGAACTGGTTGGCCCTTTTGTGAGTGCTATGCCCACTCCAACGCCCCACAACAAGGGCACTCGGTTCTCTGAGGCATGGGAGTATTTCCACCTAGCCCCTGCTCGTGCTGGGCACCATCCAAACCAATATGCCACCTGCCGCCTGTGTGGCAGGCAGGTGAGCCGTGGCCCTGGGGTCAATGTGGGCACCACAGCACTGTGGAAGCATCTGAAAAGTATGCACAGAGAGGAGCTGGAGAAGAGTGGCCATGGTCAGGCTGGGCAGCGCCAGGATCCAAGGCCCCACGGGCCCCAGCTCCCTACGGGCATTGAGGGTGACTGGGGTAGGCTCCTGGAGCAGGTGGGCACAATGGCTTTGTGGGCCAGCCAAAGGGAAAAGGAGGTGCTTAGGAGAGAAATGGCAGTGGAATGGCGGGAGAGGGCTGTGGAAAAAAGGGAGCGAGCCCTGGAGGAGGTGGAAAGGGCCATCCTGGAGATGAAGTGGAAGGTGAGGGCTGAGAAGGAGGTATGCCAGCAGGAGAAAGAGTTGCCGGCAGCAGCACATGCCTTCCATTTTGTTTAAATTGGGCTTGGAGAAACTATTCTGAAAACATTGACTCTAGACTTGTACAAAAGAGCCACTTTAGTTTCAACTCAAATGTAAAGCCAAGTAGTTTAGTGACATTTTGCTTTTATGTGAAATAGTGCACAGTATGAGTTAATCTGAGTAGGTCTGAATTGACCAGATGCTTCTCTATGAGGTTACTAGAGCTCTGTTGACCCTTGGCCGAAACTCTAAAATGTACCTATTAAAGATAAATGCTGTTACCAAAGTAAAACTCTGTGAGTTGTTTCAGGGCAGAATGTACCAGCCAGTCAGCATTGTTTGCCAAAATAATCAGATTTTTGCCTAGCACTCGGTTTTGGTGGAGCTGAAGATTTTGAGGGCTGAGGCTGGTTAAGTAGCTGGAATGTGCCTATGTGACCAGCTCACTTGCAGACACCTT